GGTGCATTTATTTGCAGGGGTGGGGGGGGGGGCTCACAGCAGATTGGTGGCCGGATCCCCAGCTCGCTGTCTTTTCCCTAGGGTTCCACGCCACTGCTAGGCCGTGCAGTGAGCTGGATGGTGTGACCCAGAGGACTGCTCCAGCTGGTCTTGCAGGCCTGTGTCAGCGGAAACAGCTCAGGAAACATATAGAACCTAAGTGAGGTTTTGACAATATTAACAGTGATGCCAGGGACTGCAGAGAACCTTTGGACATTCTACCTTGAAATCTAATGGTAATAGCTAATGTCTATAGAGTTCTTCCTCCCTTCTACGTATACATATTTTATTCAGACAATAGGTGGGACTGTAGGGGATACATTTAAAGCCACTTTACAGACTTGGTAATTTAGGAGGTCCCTCAAAAAAACCCAGTCTTGCTTGGGGTCACTCAGTGAGGATCTGAAGCCGTTTCTAAATGTAGGTCAGCTACCCATTTGCTGCAAGACCATGGATTAAAAAACAAACAGCCCGGCTGGTGTCGCTCAGTGGTTGAGCATCGACCATGAACCAGGAGGTCAGGTCAGGGCAGATGCCTGGGTTGCAGGCTTGATTCCCAGCAGGAGGCGTGCAGGAGGCAGCCAATCAATGATTCTCTCATCACTGATGTTTCTATCTCTCTCTCCCTTTCCCTTCCTCTCTGAAATCAATAAATTTTTTTTTAAAGGAGAAGTCTAGAGAATTATTCTTTTCCTTTTTTTTTCTTTTTTCTTTTTAATCCTCACCCAAGGATATTTTTCCATTGATTTTTAGAAAGAGTGGAAGAGAGAGGGAAAGACAGAGAGAAATATTGATGTGAAAGAGACACAAGGATGTTGCCTCCTTCACCAGCCCTGATCAGGGCCAGGGAGGAGCCTGCAACCAACGTAAATGCCCTTGACCAGAATCGAACCCGGGACCCTTTGGTCTGCAGGCCGATCCACTGAGCCAATCAGCTAGGGCCTTTTTCTTTAGTTTTTTTTTAAAAAAATCCCTTTTTTCTTTCTTTATCTCTCAATTTTGTGCAGTCCCAACTCCTGCAAGTTAGGATTACAAGCTGTGGCTTGAATCTCTTCTGCATTATAGGTTCCTCCAATACCTGTATTTTATTATATTAGTTTGTTCTCTTGTAGGTTCCTTTAAATTGAATCCTTTAGCTGTCCTTCAGTTCTCATACTTCACCCATCAAGCAGTATTATAGTTAAACTAGAGGCCCGATGCATGAAATTCATGCAAGGGGCTCGGCCCTCGCAGCCCCAGCTTCGTCCAGAAGGTCGTCAGGAAGGATGTCCGGAAGGTTGTTCAGCTGTCTGGTCTAATTAGCATATTACGCCTTTATTATAGATTATTATAGATGGACAGTCTCCAGATGCTGGCCACTAAGTTTCTTTAAGGGACCTGATGGAGAACTTCACTCATGGGTTTTCATTCCCGCTGAGTTGGCAGGGATTTGAGAAAGGACTTCAGATGTGAGGACCTTCTCTTTGCCCAGTTATAATTAACCTACCTGGCAAAACCCAGAAAAACAGAAACCTGGAAATGTGGATTTTAAAATTTGTGTGTGCATGTGAGTGGGGGGGATAGTTCTAAACAAAATATTACAAAGCAGGGCTAGTGCAATCCATATATATAAAAGCCCAGTGACCGGAACGGTGAATGACCAGAATGACCAGAAGGACTGGTGGCTATGACACGCACTGCATCAGCCAACCAGCCTGATCCAGGCCTCAATCCCCCTCCCCCTCCACGGCCGACCCAGCCCCCAACACCCCGATCAGGGGTGGGGCAGGCTGGCCGGACCCCACCCATGCACGAATTCATGCACTGGGCCTCTAGTGTAGAAATAAACAGAATAGGTACTTGGGAGTATTAAATGTTATTAGCACCAGGAGGCTATAGAAACCTTTTATTCTTTTCACTTAAACAAAGGCTTAGTTTAAAAATATTTACACAGGCTTCTATTTCAGGTTTTTAAATTCTTTAAAAGAAGTGGATTGTATGCAGGAGGGTTAAATGCTTTACAGACGAGGAACCCTGCTAGAACCAATTCTCTTGTTGCCATTTCAGCATCTTTGTGTTTTGTCTTTCTTTTTCCTCTTCACTTTTATCCTTTCCCTCTCCCTTCTTGTTGCTTTTTTCCACCTGTGACCCTTTGTCAGAGACTTTATTTAGACCACTTTGTAAACATATCTTCATATTTTGTATTCAGCATCGTAGCCTTCTTTTCACAAGGTCCCAATTTCTTTGTGACATAGCTGATGGTTAGGCCAAGATGTGCCCCTTTGATTGTTAGGAACAAAACAAGAAGGACCACTCTTGGATGGGATCCGGGACCAGCAGCGTGGACATCATCTGGGAGCTTGTTACAAATGCAGAGTTCTAGGTCCCATCCCCAGACCTATTGAATCCCCATCTGCTTTTTAGCAGGATTCCCAAAGATACTTCTACATAAGTTTGAGGAGTACTGCTTTCGCATGTTTTAGAAAATTGTAACATCTTGACTGAAGCTTCTGGATGCTTTGTCTTTTGCGCTTCCCTTAGTTTGAACAATGATGCCATATGGAGACATTTGGCCTCCTTTTTTTTTAAATTTTATTATTTATTTATTTATTTATTTTGGCCTCCTTTTTAAAAATATATTTTTATTGATTTCAGAGAGGAAGGGAGAGGGAGAGAGATAGAAACATCAATGATGAGAAAGAATCATTGATCGGCTGCCTCCTGCATGCCTCCTATTCGGGATTGAGCCCACAACCTAGACATGTGCCCTTGACTGGAATTGAACCCGGGACCCTTGAGTCCACAGGCTGCTGCTCTAGCCACTGAGTCAAACCAGCTAGGGCAACATTTGGCCTCTTTGACTTTTTCTTGCCCATGTTATTTTTCCCTAGTGAGGCCACCTGCTGCCCTGCTGGCTCTCAATTGGCCCAGTTCTTGCTTTGTGGAGCCCATCGTTGTGTGAGGGCTATGAGAGCATCATGACAAATTTTGAATTCTATCAGCCTAGAGGATTTGGGGAACAGTTTATAATGAAGATGTCCATTGGCATATCAATAAATCATGTATTTTCTTTTTCCATTTTCCTGTAGTATGGTGATTCGTGGTGATAAAGATGAACAGGCTGTGCTGTGCAGTAAAGACAAAACCTATGACTTGAAGATAGCAGATACTTCCAATATGTTGCTTTTAATTCCTGGTTGTAAAACTCCAGACCAGCTGAAGATGGAAGAAACCCACTGTAACATTATTCACACCGAGGTACTGTAGTTTGTCTCCTGATTATTTAAGTATGAGAATGACAACACATGTCTAATCTTGCTTTTAATTAAAAACTTTAGATATGTAATGTATAATCACAGGAACTCTGAAAAGTTCTCTAATGATATTTGAAAGCTCTCAGCATTGTTTTTGTTGTCTTGTGAAGTTGTCTTTGTTTGCCAGTTTGTGGACTATGGATGACATCAGTCTTTCTGTTTTAGTCCTTACGCTCCTCTTTTGAAGGCCTTAAATTCAGCAGCAAACATCAGGCTCTGGGCCTTGTCTTGTCAATCATACTTTGAACTAATTCGAGAGCAGAAGCATCCCCTGACCTTCCATTTTAGAATTGGAAGGCACCTGGAGATGATCCACTTCAGCCTTTTCTCCTTTCATGTGAAACACTTATTGGGCCCCTACTAAGTGTTAGACGCCAGGCAGGTTCTGGCGATACAGAGAGGAATAACAGTTCTTTATGCATCATTTAGCCTCTATCAACTGGATTTCCTTGAGTGGTAGGTCTCTCACTGGTTCACCAGTCCAATAAGGAGCTAGCTGCAATTCTAAATAGTACAGCGTTCTTGAATTGAAGTTTTTCTCCCTTACCATCTGCTTAATTTTGGTATCATGAGTTAACACAGAACAAAGGTTCCCTCTTCCCTTTAACATTTCTTCATTATTTGAAGACTGTGCTAATGTCTCTTCTTTATTTTCTGTTGTTCAGTCTAAAAGTATTCATTTTCAGTTGTTTCTATTTTGTTTGTAAAATTGTCACCTTTCTGGTTATTCTTCTCTGGGCTTACTCTGGTTTCCAAAGTACACGTGAGATATGGAGCTCAATTATTGGTTCTCACTATGTTGACAGTAGCTTCTGAAATGGGGTTTGAAAAGATTCCTGAAGATGCCTATCCACCTGTTTGAGGTGCTGGATCGGTGCCTTCCCAACAGAAAGCAGAACAACCATTTCCCTTTGCTTCTTGTTGAGGGCAGATGGGTGGGTTGAAATTGCTGGAGATTTTTCTTTTAGAATGAACCCTAAAAAGTTATAATATATTTATAATTTTTAGATCTTTGGTTTTTCTAATAATTATTGGGAACTAAGAAGATGTAGACCTAAATTAAAGAAGCTAAAGAGACTTTTAATGGCAAATACCTATGAAGGACCTGACAGTCAAAAAGAAAAGGATTCCAATTGCTCAAAAGTAAGACTATTATTTTCACTTTTTATTTGGAATTTAAAAAATAGAACTATAATTACAGGCACTTAACTGGTGACATTTTTACATTTTAAACTTTCTATTATGAAAATTTCAGACCTATCCAGAAGCAGAAAGAGTACCGTGTATTCATCACTCAGTTGAACATTTAACAATATTTTGTCAGGCTTGCTTTTTTCTATCCCCTGCTTCCTCCTACCTTGTTTTCCTTTTTCTGGAGTATTTTAAAGCAAATTCTACATATGGTGACATTTACCTGGCTGAAAGCTCATGTTCCTAACTATGCAAAAATAGTTTTTTACAAGTTAGATTAATTTTTATTTAATTGAAAGTTATAATTAGGGGCTCTTTAGAAAAGACATTATGATAAGTATTGGAATACATTATGAAAAGTATTCTTACTCTAATGTCAAAATTGACTAATTCTTGGAAATATGGAAAAATATAAACCAAGTAAAAAAATTTTTAAGAGTTTTTAATGTAATTCAAAATTATAGAACTCTACTGGTATTCTGAAGACCATATTTGTATTAGAAGTTCTCCTTTTCTCCATTGACTGATTGATTTTTTTTGGGGGGGGGGTTACACCTTTATTTAGATATAACTCATATACCAAACAATTCACTCATTTTTAAAGTGTATATATAATTCAATGTTTTTTAGTATATTTACAGTGGTGTGCAATCATCACCCTGATGAAATTGAGAACATTTTCATCAGCCTCAGAAGAAACCCTGTACCCTTCAGCTATTACCTTCCAATCCTACTTTTCCCAATTTCCCTCTTCCACCTCAGCCCTAGGCAACCACTAATCTACTTTCTGTTTCTATTGACTTGCCTCTTCTGGACATTTCACATGAATGGAATTATATCATTTGTGGCCTTCTCTGATTGGCTTCTCGTTTGACTTAGCATGATGTTTTCAAGTTTCATTCATATTATAGCATGTATCAGTAGTTAATTCCTTTTTATTGCTGAATATTACCCTACTTCATGGCTAGATCCACATTTTATCCATCCATTCATCAGTTGATGGGCATTTTTAATTGAGATTAACAACACTGCTGTGCTGTGTGCACTCATATACAAGTTTCTGTTGCACTTATATTTTCTAAACATTTTTTTTTTTTAAATAATCCATCAGGGGCCATGCTTAGAGGAAGTGGGGCGGAGGGGCGGGGGCGGCAAACAGAGACATGGATCCGTTGCCTTCCCTAGGCTCCCTGACTGGGGATGGAACCCGAAACCTAGGTATGTGCGTTGAATGGAAATCAAACTGGCAACCTTTAGATGCACAGGAAAATGCTCAACCAACTGAGCCACTGTTTTCATTTCTCTTGGGTATATATCTAAGAGTAGAATTAATGGGTCATGTGCTTATTCTGCATAATCTTTCGAAGACCTGCCAGACAGTGGCTGCACCATTTTACATTCCCATCATATGAGGGTTCCAATTCCTTCAGATCTTTGACAAAACTTGTTTTTTTCTGTCTTTTTACTATCCATGCTAGTGGGTTTGAAATGGTATCATTGTGGTTTTGATGTGCATTCCCCTAATGACTAATGATTTTGAGCATTTTTTTCACGTGCTTATTGACTATTTTTGGAGAATGTCTATTTAAGAACTCCTTTGTCCAATTTTTAATCCGGTTATTTGTCTTTTTGTTACTGAATTGTAGGAGTGTTCTTTATACAGTCTAAATACAAATTCCTACCAGATAGATGATATGCAAATATTTTCCCCTATTCTGTGGGTTGTCTTTTCACTTTCTTGATTTTTTTAAGAATTGTAAATATACATAACATAACATTTACCATTTTAATCTTATGTGGATAGGTCTGTGGCATTAAGTATGTTCACCTTATTTTGTGACCATCACCACCATCCATCTACAGAAATTTTTTATTTTCCCCAAGCTGAAATTCTATACCTATTAAACACTAAATCCCTAGATTCCCCTGCCTCCCAGCCTCTAGTGACCAACATTTTACTTACTGTTTCTATGAATTTGATTACTCTAACTATCCCATGTAAGTGGAATCATGCAATAGTTGTCCTTTTGTGTTGATGATGTTTTGAAGAACAGAGTATAAAAGTTTTTCATTTTGATGAAGTCCAATTTATCTATTTTTCCTTTTGTTTCTCGTGTTTTGGTGTCATATCTAAAAAACCATTATTAAATCCAATATCACTTATGCTTTCTTCTAAGCTATCTACTGATTTTGTGTAGTAATCATTACACATTAACAAAAGAATTGAGCTAGTGTTTAAATATTGCCTTAATCTACTTTATGTATTTATTCTCCCAAATTCAAGAATCTTAAAAAATATTATTCAAAGGTCTTAAAATGTTGTTTGTTCGTTTTCTCTTGTTTCAGTATACCACTGAAGATTTGCTTGATCAAATTCAGGCAAGTGAGGAAGAAATAATGGCCCAATTACAAGTTCTAAATGCCTGTGAGATTGGAGGTACTTGTCATTGTTATTAATAATGATGGAATTGAGCATCATATAAGAAAAAAAGAGACAAGTTTTTGGACATCTTCACCCTATTATATTTTGTTTATTCTTTTGGGGGCTCACAGATGATGATATTTGTATTTTGGGGAATGGGTAGAGAATACATGTGATCTTCTTTACATGAAGAGGCCAGTACTTTACCTTTTTCTTTGGACTAAGTGGTAGTAGGAGAACCATGTTAGCTTGAGGAAAGTCTTAGGTATAAGGTAGTCTAATCCCTTCATTGTTTTTAGTAGGTGAAGAAACTAAGGCCTATTTTTAAGGGAAACTGACTTGTCCAGGGCTACCTATTGAATTAGTGATAGGCATAGAACCCAGATGAACTTGCACTTGAATTTCTGGTTCGGAATTAATTTAATAAACTCATTGTATTTACAAATTGCTTGGAAGATAAGACTGTGTTTCTTCTTGTGGTAACATGTAACATGCTTTTGAATATAAATGGTTTATATAGTAAACCTATGTAAAAGATAGAATAGTGTTTGTTGGTCTCAGGGGTTGAGGAAGAAGCCCAGTAGTATCTTCTTTAAGTGTTTTGACTGGTTTCAGGTCTGGAGTTGGAGTTTTTTCCCCAGCATCTGGGTCTGCAGTAAGAGTAGGCGTTTATGTGCATTTGTCAGCCCTTTTAAGCTAGCCCAGAGAAGCAGCTTAACTCAGCACCCATGTGTGAAGAAGGAGGAAATCGGCATGGGTTGATGGATTTACTATTCAATTTGCTCACAATCTTTCAAGCAAGATTAACTTTTGTGAAACCTTAACCTGAATGTGTGGCAAATTCTGCTGAGTAAAGCAACTGCGCATGACTTTAGAACTAGAAACACTTAGCTCACTTGGTCCTAAGCATAGGAAATGCTTTCTTTCTCAGTGTTACATCACAATTCCATTTTTAATGTTGCCTTTATGTTTCAGAATAAGAATAGCAACATTCTCCTTTGCAAGTGGTGGATGTGTACTTGATTTGTTTCTCCATGGGTGATGGTAGTGCCTTCGATTATAAGATGGCTTTTCATTTTTCACGGGACTAGGGGAAGGTATCTTGATGCCCAGCCTTTATTTTGCCACTGGTCCACATCGTACCTCTGAGTCTGTTGTCTCTTGAATGAGCTAGACTTCCTTTTGAGCATGAGAACCGCTTTGCAGGCTAGCTGAGGTGAGAGTGATGACCATGGCAGTGCCCCCAGCGGAGGGTACGGTGTGGGATAGTGAACCCATGGCCTTCACCTCATTAGTATGGCATTCTAATGAAATGACTGTACCAGCCACGTCCATTTAGAACAGTGATGGCGAACCTATGACACGTGTGTCAGAGGTGACACGTGAACTCATTTTTTTGGTTGATTTTTCTTTGTTAAATGGCATTTAAATATATAAAATAAATATCAAAAATATAAATCTTTGTTTTACTATGGTTGCAAATATCAAAAAATTTCTATATGTGACACGGCACCAGAGTTAAGTTAGGGTTTTTCAAAATGCTGACACGCCCAGCTCAAAAGGTTCACCATCACTGATTTAGAACAACAAGATTATTGTGAGATATTGATTTTAATATTAAAGCACTTGAAAAAAAATCAGTGTTAGTCATATTTGAACTACTCTTTAAAAACCACAATTTGTAATGGGAGAAAAGCATAAAACGAAGTATTGTTTATTAGGAAAGTGAAGACTTTTTTTTTTGAAAGTAAAGACTTTTAGTGTCTCTTTTTTTGTGTGGTGGGCAAGAGCATGCTGCTACTTTATCAGTGTATTAGCCAATTAATTTGCTTAATATGTTCTTTGAGAAATATAACTTTGAATTTGTAGGTTATTGGAGGATTCTTGAATTTGATTATGAGATGAAACTTCTGAATCATGTAACTCAGCTTGTGGATTCTGAATCATGGTCTTTTACTAAAGTTCCTTTGAATATATGCCTTCAGGAACTTGGACCATTAGAGCCAGAGTAAGTATTTTAATCCCTGTCACACCAGATTTCCTTAAAGCGAAGGAAATTATTTTCCAGGGTGGAACTAAACCCAGGGCATAGACTACTTATATTTTGATAGTTCATAGAAATTTAAAAATTATACAACCAAGAAGGGCTTGGAATTTTGATTACTGGGGTGAATAAATGTGCATTATGTTATTTTTGCATTAAAACTATAATTATGCTTAACTATTTTATAATAGAAGTGTGCTCATATAATTCATGTAAAAATAGTTAGCATGGGATCTGGTACATAGTAACTTCCTAGTATATATTAGTTAGTTCCTAATGTAAAGTTTTACTTGGCAGCTAAAATCACTTACTATTTCAAATCACAAATGTATATCTTAGTTTCTAGTTAACAGTGGTATATAAAATACAATGTATAAAAATGTGATAACTTTTCAAATGAGTGTTTTAAATTTTTCAGAGAAATGATTGAACACTGTCTTAAGTGTTATGGAAGAAGATATACAGAGGAAGGTAAGATTTGGAAAAGTATTTTAATGGGTATAAAATCTTGTATGTTAAAATTGGTATGCTTTTCTGAGGTGTGTTTCTGTCCAAAATAAGGACTCCATGGGTCATGGGAGGTGAGTTGTGTAGAATTCCTTCTGGGGATTTCATGGAGGAAAAAGAAACAAAAGATACATGGTGAAGATAATATGAAAGCATTGGATGCCTTTTCTTTAGGTGAAGTTTAGTTCTTTATTTTCCCCAGGTGAAATTTATTTTGACTTGAGCGCTGATAAAATCTGTAGAGCAACAGCACAAATGCTACTTCAGAATGCAGTGAAGTTCAACCTCGCCGAGTTTCAGGAAGTGTGGCAGCAAAGTGTCCCTGAAGGAATGATAACCAGGCTTGAGCAGCTTAAGGTGAGGTAGCGATGATGATGGCTACCATGACAACAGATCATCATTAGTTACTAGGTGAAACGAAATTTATGTTGGAACTGAATCTGGAACCAATTTATTTTCCTAGCTACCCGTTAAGTGTATACTATACTCTCAATCTATCAAAAAATCCTCTAAAAAAAAACCCCAAACCCAACACTTTATCGAACTATAATTTACATATCACAAAATTTGTCTCTTTAAAAGGGGTTTTTAGTAAATTTAGTGAGTTACACAGCCATCACCACAATCTAGTTTTAGAACATTATCACCTCGATGAAATCCCTCAGGCCCATATATAGTTAATCCTGATTCCCACTCCATTGGTTTTTCTCAATTTCCACCAGCACCATTTTAGCTCAAACTATCATATTCATTTGGCTATAAATAACAGTAATATTCCTAACCAGGCCTTCCATACTTTTGATTTTGCCCTGCTCCAATCCATTCTCCATGGTGCTACTGGAATGATCTTTAAAAAATGCCAGTCAGATTAGATGAATGTCTTGCTTAAATCACTTTAATGGTTGCCCAATGCACTTGAGATATAAAATCCAGAATTCATATTTTGGCCTACAAGGCCCTCCATAATCTCCCCTTCATAATTTCTGTCCTACTGAATGCATACCTAGTGTTCTTTCAAATTTTCAAGATCATCAAGCTGGCTTCTAGCTTAGGGCCTTCACTCAAGGCTTTTTGTTCCAGAATGATCTCCCTAATTTCATCTGGCCACCTCCTACTCATCTTTGAGGAACTTCATCAAAGAGGCCTTCCTTCACTCTAAAAAAATGCCTCTTTTACTTTTCCATAGCACCCTGTATTTTTCCTTCATGGCACTTATCACTTTGCTTTAAAAGTGTTAATTATGTGGTTGCCCACCTCCACTTTGATAGAATTTTGTTCACTGTTGCTTGCCAATATATAGCATCCTGCTTGGCATGTAGTGTATACTCAATAAGTATTTGTAAAATAAGAGAAAGAATTTGCTCAATATTTGCAGAGTTCTTTTAAGTCTAGTCACTGTGCTAGATCCTGAGGTGCCATCAACATCCTAAACTATCTAGAAAGTATTTGGGCCCATTCAGTGTATTAGCAAGGAGAGTAATCTGATGAGTTTTGCCTTTTGGAAAGAACACTATGACGGTAATGAGGATGGATGCATAGATGGATGCATGGATGGATGGATGGATGGATGGATGGATGGATGAATGGATGAAGGTTGGCTAGATGATGAAAAGGAGAACTGTCTAGGCTCTCAACACTTAAATATCCCTAACTAAGACAGTACTGGCTAAGAAATAAGTGATACAGAATGGATAGAGAAATGTTCAGGCCTTAAAAACCTATAGGATAGTGACCACTTAGGTGTGGGGTTTGAATAATGGAATCTAAGGTGATGCCTTGGTTTCTTGGCTTCCTAGGACAGTGAGACAAGAGCAGGTTTAGCTGACAAATACTGTGAGTTCATATATAGGTTTGTATATACAGATCAGGTGCTCAGTCGAAGAGACATTTGAGTTGCAGATACAAATCTTACAGGTATGAGCAAGTAATCAGTCGTCGAAATCATGGTTTAGTTGAGGTTATACAGGACTGACAGTGAGATGAGTAGAGGGGCAGGATAGAGGCCCAAGGAACTGTGACATCAAGTTAGGAGGGAAATAATGAGATGGTGATGTCAGAGATAACGATTCAAAGAGGAAGGAATAATCAACATTAACAAAGAAAGCAGCTAATGTGATGAATCCAAGGGCCTAGTGGCAATGACAGGTTACTGGTGACCTTGAACTAGAGCTGTCTTTATAAATTGGTGTGGTAGAAGCCAGATTGCAGAGGAAAAAGGAGAAGTCAAAGAAGTCAAAGTTTAAAGAAGCATTTCTATGAAAAAAAAATTATTAGGTTTCAGTAGCTTGTGTATCATGTAGCTGACATTTTAAATGCCCTGGACTAAGCTAAACCTAAACATAAAAGAATAAGCCGTATTTAAACATTAGACCATTACTTTACTCTTTTTCTCATTTCTTAATAGGGTTTGGCCTTGGTGGATAGACAGTCAAGACCAGAAATCATATTTTTGCTAAAAGTAGATGATTTACCTGAAGATAATCAGGAACGTTTTAATAGTCTATTCTCTCTAAGGGAGAAATGGACAGAAGAAGATATTGCTCCATATATTCAGTAAGTACTATGAATTTTGAGGGCTGTTCTTTTAATAAAGAGTGGCATAATGTTTTGGATTTTTATTAGAACACTTTTATTTTTGAGTATTTCCCAAGGACACCGCTTCCTTTGAAATTTTCTCAAGTGGAGGCTGTCTTCTATATTATCCTCCATAACCACTGATCCTGAAGTGTTATCTTTCTTCCTTACTAATTCTTCTTTTATATATATAT